TTCCCTCTTACTTTCTCTGTCTCTCTCCAGTAAGTACAGGGGCACTATGGCAAAAATCCTAAAAACAACAACAGCTTCTCTGAGTAGATGACTGAGAGCTGAGATTTTAACATTACAAAGGAGTGAGCCAGGTCCCATGCTGTTCCATGGGGGGGATGGGGAACTAGCCACATATGACTATTCAAGTTTAAATTAATAGAATTTAAGTATAATTTGGACCAGGAGTTGCCATAATGGCTATGTCTCTGGACTCCCATATAGTCGACCAGGGTTCAAGTCCTGGACCTGGTGGCTTAAACTCACACCTGGCGTGTGTTTGTGCATGCCCAAGATCCTGAGAAGAGAATGGAGAAGACGGCATTGTGGCGTGGCCATCCCACCTGGGGGGTGATTTCTCGCTTTCTGTCTCTCTGTCTCTCTGGCGTGTGCACACGCCCTGTAGCAAAAATCTCTAAAAAACAAAAACAAAAACAAAAACAAAAACAAAACAATTAAAAGGGGCCAGCAGGTGGCATGATGGTTAAGGGTGCTGAACTCCCACATGATGGACTGCAGTTCAAGTCCTGGACCTGGCAGCTTGCTTTGTCACTTTATACCTCATGCACACGTGCACTCTTTCTCTTTCTCACTCTGTCCTTTCTGGTCAAATTAGAATAACTACATGAAATAAATAAAGTTAGATAACATAATTCTCCAAAAAAAACCCCACATAAAATTAAACATTCACTCTTCAGTCACACTAGCCAAATGTCAAACGTCCAATGTCCACATTCATCTAGTGGACAGTGCACGTTGATAGAATATATCCATCACCCCAGAAAGTTTTATTGAACAGGTTTGATTCAGAGGAATTGAGTTTGTGCCAGGCAGAGGGAAGGATATACACAAAACTCTAATCCCATTGACACAACCCCACTGGAGCCCTGAAGGATGAACACACATCAGGAACAAAGAAGGCCCTGAACATTTCTAACACATTACAGAATCATAGACTATGAGCAATGGGAAATGTCTTTGAAGACCTTGGACCATCTGACACCTAAAATGTAGACCTCAAGTTAAGACAGGTTAAATGTAGTCCAGCTTCTCCCCTCAGTCCCTCATTCCTTCCGTTATCCCTTATTGCCTTTCCTACCAGGAAAGCCATCTTCTCGCCGTCCATTTCCTAATTTCTTTTAAGAGCTAATACCAAGCTTACCCTTTCAGAAAAATTTCCCTGCTTTTGTGTGATGGACCTTTTGCTATCCAACCTCCCCCCACCTTAGATAGGCACAAGGGACACAGTTTGGCCAGAATCTCATTTTTGTTCTCTGTTAAATGTCTACAGGTCTGGTCTTCATAAGTAAGTTACACAGGGACTATGACTACACTGTGTTTGGTTTCACCTCAACACACAGCAAAGAAGATGAAGACATTTTTAGTGAAGAGGAACAGCAGATGGCATAATGGCTGTGTTGCTATACTCCCAGGTAGTCCACAGCAGTTTGATTCCTGAACCCGGCGGCTAAAATTTATGCTGGGGGCCTGTACGTGAATGCTCAAAATCCCAAGAGGAGAATGAAGAAGGGATTGTGGCATGGCCATCCCCCCAGGAAGTGATTTCTTCCTTTCTCTCTCTCTGTCTCTCCGGCAAGCGCACCCACTCTACAGCAAAAATCTCTTTAAAAATTTTTTCTTAGTGAAGAAAGGTAGGTAGGTATGGTGGGGAATAGAAGATAGGACTTAACTCCAAAGAACTAAAGGTAATCTTGACTGATGGGCAATGCGTTTGTGGCTGGGATAAAAGCAGGGGTTTTTTATTTGTTTGTTTTTGAGAGGTTTCTGCTATAGGGCACATGCACTCGCCAGACAGACAGATAGAAAGCGAGAAATCACCCCCAGGGGGGAGGCCACGCCACAATCCCTTCTCCTCCATTCTCCTCTCAGGATCTTGGGCACGCACGCACATGCGCCCAGCGTGAGTTTAAGCCACCGGGTCTGGGATGCGAACCACGGTCGACTCCATTACGCTAACTGCTGGTCCCAAAAGCAGGTTCGATAGATAGCCATCGATGTGCCCAGGGCTGTATAGAGAAGACAGTGGTGTCTCTAGCACCGTCTCACATACCTTCAGAGGCGATTTCTTTCATCTTCATTTTGTTTTGGGCGGCACCCTTAGAATATGTGTTCATTTCTTGTCACTTTGACTTCATATTTTTCTAGTCCTTGAAGGAAAGTTAAAGGATGAAAGCAGATTAGAAATAGAAAACCACAGATCATCATATTAGAGAAATCTTGATGAGATTCTAGAATTTCAAAAGACTTCATAGCCTGGACAAAGCTGTAGTGGTAAACGCAACGTTCTAGGATGCTGACTCATGGGGGGGAAAGTTCCAGGGTTGCATTCAGAGACCTTCCTGGATATGCCAGGCAGGTGTGTGCCCATGATCTGGGGCTGACTGAAGGGGGGGTGGGTCACAGAATAAGAACCCTGTTGAGGATGCCTGTCTCTGTCTCTGTCTCTCTTTCTCTTATGGAAGAAATAAACTTAAATGCTTTTTAAAAAATAATTATTTAATTGTATTTATTCATATTAATATTTTTTTAAATTTGCTACAGGATATGTGTGCTTACCAGAAAGAGAGAGAAAGTGAAAAGAAGTAAGCTTCCGGGTCTGGGACTTGAACTGTAGTCAGCAATGTAGGAATCCAGTGCCTTTACCACCGTGGCATCTGCTATCCCAGAAACATGAAAAAAGAAAATATAGAAAAAAATAAAAAAGGCGTTTTGAAAAAGGTGAAAAGAAAAATATGAAGTGGACCCACAAGGGAAATTTTCAGGTTTGTATCCAGAGACGTCCCCCTGTATACCGGGCATGCATGTGCCCATGATCCAGGGTTGGCTGAAGCTGGGGGTGGACTGTGGCATCAAGATCTTGCTGGGGTTCTGTGACACACTAGCAATGTGCTGCTCAAGAGAAGCCAGACCCTACATGGTGACTGTGGTTTGAATCCTCAGTCCGGTCAGCCTGGAATACACTGGGCATGCACATGGGTACCCAAGATCCACTGGGCTGGGGAAGAGAGGTCACAGCATGACCAGACCCGGTCAAGGAGCTCCTCCTATTTCTCGTGTATATACCCTCACTTACACTCACTTTCATCTTTTTTTTTTTTTGGAGAGGTTTTTGCTATAAAGCACGTGCGCTCGTCAGAAAGACAGAGAGACAGAGAGATAGAAAGCGAGAAATCACCCCCCAGGGGGGATGGCCATGCTACAATCCCTTCTCCTCCATTCTCCTCTCGGGATCTTGGGCACGCACGCACACGCACCAGGCATGAGTTTAAGCCATCAGCCATTAGCCAACAGCTGGTCCCAGATTCCTAGAAGTCCTTTGCCGACTTAACTAGTATTCTAAGACCTGAAGGCCATGATGGAGAGTGCCCAGGACTGAGGAGACAGGAAGCAAAAGCCAGGTAGATAGACATCTTGGTAAGCAAGTCTTTTTATGTTGCCAAGGGCAGCATGTGCTCACCAGTGAGAAAGAGACAGAGACAAGAGAGATAGAAAGCACTGCCTCCATGGGAGATAGTCAGGTTATGATCATTTTCCTCCATCTCTCCATCATTTTGAGATTTGGGACATACACACACGCATGTCACCCCACGTGTATCTTAAACCACTGGGTCTAGGACTCAAACTGCAAAGTTGGCGTGTGAGATCTGGCTGCCTTAACCACTAGACCCTGAGCTGGCCCCACGTCTTTAATTCCGCACCTTCAAGTAATTTTTTAAAATTATGTTAATTACATTGGGTGTTTTTAATTTTTTCTTGGAAAGAGCATAAACCCTGAGTGATTACTTTTTTTCCCCTGGGTACTAAGGTACAAGGCAGGGCATTATGCACCTGGCAGGCTTCAGGACCTTGTTGTTATGGCAACAGGGTGGGCAAGCCGAGCTTCCTGACACTGAAGCCTCAGAGTCAATATGGGGTGTGCATTTGTGAAACCCAGGTAGTAAAAGGAAAAAGCTCCCTGGTTGGGGCCATACAAAAGAGCCCATTACAGTAATTAATGCAGGGCCAGCTGGGCAACTGAGAAAACTCCCAGCAGGATTAGGTTTCTCCACTCCCTAGAAGAGGATCTCAGATAGCCTCCCTTCCACCTCAGGGAGGCTGAACCAGAGGCCCCACAGTGATGAGGGCCAGGCGATGACTAGGGAGCTAGGAAGGAACTCAAGTAAGTCAAATGCCTTCCTTCTGAGCTTTCTCATCTGCGAAGTGAAGTACTCTGTCCCAGCTTTAACTCTGTGAGTACAGGCAAACTACACACACACACACACACACACACACACACACAACCAACCAAACAAACATAAAAACTTCTAGGAAGGGACCAGCACTTGGAGTAATGGCTATGTCACTGGACTCCCATGTAGTTGATCGCGGTTCAAGTCCCAGACCTGGTGGCTTAAACTCACACTGGGTGCGTGTGCGTGCGTGCCCAAGATCCCAAGAGGAGAATGGAGGAGATGGGATTGTGGCGTGGCCATCCCTCCTGGGGGTGTGATTTCTCGCTTTCTGCCTCTGTCTCTCTCTGTCTTTCTGGCGAGTGCATGTGCTCTATAGCAAAAACCCCTCCAAAAAAAGAAAAAAAATACCCAAAAAAACCTTCTAGGAAGACCGTTCATATTTATTGGCCATCTACCATGAGTTAGACACTTCACATTAACTTACTTAATCCTCACGGTCTGCTAGATATATTGTTTTTCCCACTTCACAAACAATGAATTAACAGTCAGTAAAAGTAACCTTGCCCAACAGAGGTCTTCGCAGTTAGGCTTCCGTACAGCCTGCCTCTCCTGAGCTCTGTCTGGGTCCACGGTTTGTTCCATGCTGCCACTCCACCCCACCCCCAGCCCCCCCCCCAGCCCCTTTTATTTCTTTACCACTTTCTATTACAAGTCACTGACCCTGACAAATTTGATAGGAAGGACAGCTGAAGCCATGCTGCCCTCCCTGACGCCTGGAGAGTCTGCTTCATGAGTACACTTCACAGTGTTTGCTTTCCAACAACCTGCTTGTCCTCCGGGCTGCTGCATCTCTTGACTGCAAACGTGGGCTGAACCCTCACTCTGGGTCAGGCACTGTGCCAAGCGCCTCCCATGCTCCCATGACCCTCATTGCACGCTCTGAAGTAGGCATGACTGTGAACCCTCCCCCTCCACACACACACACAGAGGACAGAACACACCTAGAGCCAGACACCAAGAGGAGGAGGAGCCTGACAGTGGCAGGTTGAATCTAACGCTCCGCAAGGCTGAGCCCATGAGAAGATTCCAGGATTGTGTCTGGAGACCTCCTTGAGTACACTGGGCATCCTGAGTCCATAATCTGGGACTCACTGAGGCTGGGGATGGATCATGGTATAAAGACTCTGTTGGGGATGCTATCTCTGTCTTGCTGTCGCTCTCTGTCTCTTTGTCTCTTTCACGCTTGGAGAATAAATGAATAAAATGGAAAAGCTAAGGAGCCGTACAAGTACATTGAACTAGAAATCCAGAGCATTTCATAGTTTAGACTAAATGGCTATCCTTTGATGATGACACAGAGGGCCTTCTATTGTCTGCACATCCTTCATCACCCAATCAGGATCGACTATAAAGAAGCCTGTGCTGAGGAGCTGAGAACTGATGCCAGTTCCACTCATCCTGTTTCACAGTTGTCTTTGTTTTGTTTTTGTTTTTGTTTTTTTTTTTGAGAGGTTTTCACTATAGGGCGCGTGCGCTCGCCAGACAGACAGAGAGAGACATAGAGACAGAAAGCGAGAAATCACCCCCCAGGGGGGATGGTCAAGCCGCAATCACTTCTCCTCCATTCTCCTCTCGGGATCTTGGGCACACACGCACACGCGCCCGGCGTGAGTTCTAAGTCACCAGGTCCGGGACACGAACCGCGGTCGACTACGTGGGAGTCCAGCGACATAACCATTACGCTCACTGCTGGTTCCCTCCACAGTTGTCTTCTGAGTACCCTTTCTGTAAATGCAGAGGACGCCGTTTGCTTTCAGAGGCTAAGACTCTCTGCCTCCCAGTGAGGACTCACTGGAAACCAGATTCCTAATTCACTTTGATTGAATGTTCCCATTTACTCACGTGGATGATCCAAATCTTGGGCACTGGAACAAGGAGGTATCCCCTGGAGCAGTCATATTTCTATTTTTATCACGTAACTCAGAGCCCTGCTTCAAACCTTCCAGTGGATGTTCACCACACTGGAATAAAATTCAGATTTCTGCCCCAGGCGATGAGGCCCTTGGCTGCCTCTCACCTCTGATTTTCACATGATAAAATCACTCTGGCCTGAGTTGATTGCCATCTCTTTAAAGAGGATTTTTTGTTTGTTAATAATTTAGTTTGTTTCTGAGTATCCCACCCTCCCCGCCAAGAAGCACACAGCGATTACTTGAGCTATTCAAATTTACTGCCATTTATAGGTTCTGATCCTTGTTAATTAACACAAATCATCAGCAAAAGTAGTCTCTTGCTTTAGGGAGCTAGTTCCCCATGGGTATCTCTTTCTCTTTTTTTAATCATTGTCAGAAGGAACGCATGCTCACCAGAGTCAGAGAGGCAGAGACGGAGGGAAAAAGCAACCCCCAAGGGGGTTGGTCATGCCACAATCCTTCTCCTCCATGTCTCCATTTGGTTGGCATTTGGGGCATGCACACAGGTATACCCAGTGTGTGTTTCAAGATGCCATGTGGATTTGAACCACGTGGTTGCCCATGTAGGTTCTGGCTCCCTTAACAACAAGGCCTTGGGGTCAACCACCGTGGATCTCTTAAATAGAGCAGACTGCCATAGTTCTGAATTATTTTCAAGGACCTTTATATAAAGAACAACCTTTGGAGATAGAGATAGTGTCTCACTCCACAGCAAAGGGAAAATGGCTTCTGGCCCAATGAAAGACATGAGTTACCTAGGTTCAAGGTTCTTCTGAAATGGAACCCACAGTGATGGCATGTGTCACTTGGCCCCCTTCAATCACCCCATGGCTTGGGGAGCTGGCACAAGAAAATGCTGTTACTCTCCTACTGCTATTGCCATGAGTGTCTTTTGCCTCTGACCCAGGAGTCTCATTTCTTCTGCTAGCATCCAGGAAACTGGCAGAATAACTTGTTAGCTTGCAAGTAAGGTAGACTCCCACACCTTTCAGAGTTCTTGACACCCACAACTACGTTTGCTTCAAGTGACACAGCTTTGCTTCACTCATGCTCCCAGTATGCAGTGATAGCACAATTACAGTGACCTGATGTCTATATTATTTCTGGGTATTAAAGTGTCAGGGAGTTTATTGGGAAGCTCTCATGACACGAGTGGCACAAAAGAGAACCTCATTAGCACTGCAATGCTTACAAGCTCTGCAATACAACACTCACCAATTTTACATTATCCTCAAAAGGAAGAAAAAGAGCGAGGCTCATCAGACATCTTGCACCGTCGTTCTGAGCATCTGGGTTGGCCAACATCACTGCCTTCGCCCCCTCCGTGACACATGGTACATGCAAGGCAGCACCATGACGCTCCTCTTCCACAATCCTAACAGAGCAACCTGGGGTGGAGAGAACGGGGATTTCTGTATTCATGTCACATCTCTTTTAATTTAAAATTTTTGTTTGCTTTAGGGAACATGCACTCTCCAGAGACAGAGAGAGACAAGGAGAAAGGGAAAGTGAGAAAGCATCCATTGGGGCAGATAGCTTCACCATACTATCATCTACGCCATTCTCTCTCAGGATTTTTGGGCCTGAGCACACATGTGCCCAGTGTGTTTTTTAAGCTGCCGGGTCATGGACTCAAACCATGCAGTCAGCTATGTAGTATACAGTCTCCTTAACTTCCATGCCATCTGCTGGCCCACCATCACCATGCCACAGACTTCTTGCTTTTTGGGGGTTTTTTTTGAGAGGTTTTTGCTGTAGGGCACACGTACTCACCAAAAAGACAGAGAGAGACAGAGACACAGAAAGTGCGAAATTACCCCCCAGGGGGAATGGCCGCGCCACAATTCCTTCTCTTCCATTCTCTTCTCGGGATCTTTGGCATGCACACATATGCACCCAATGTGAGTTTAAGTCACTGAGCCCAAGACTTGAACCATGGAAGACTGCATGGGAATCCAGCGAGGTAGCCATTATGCCATCTGCTGGTCTGAATGCCACAGACTTCTATTTTTTTTTTTTTTTATCATTAGCTGTAACACTTTATAATAAAACATTGTAAAATACTAATATAAATTTAACTAATTATAATGGCAAACATAAGTTTTAATATTAAATATAAAGAAAGTTCAAGAGTCAGGTAAAATATTTCAGGGCCTGGTAAACATTTCAGATACTTGTTCCTTTCCCAGATCTTCCTGTTTTCTTTTTAATTTATTTTACTTACTTATTTATTTACTTATATATTCATTTATTTATTTATTTTTAGTTTGACCAGAGAGGGTCAGAGTGATAGAGAGAGAGAGAGAGAGAGAGAGGGAAAGTGAGAAAGCAAGCTGCCATGTTCGGGACTTGAACTGTGGTCAGCCATGGTGAGAGTCCAGCGCCCTTAACCACCAAGCTATCTGCTGTCCCCTGGATCTCCTTGTTATAAAGAAATAGGTTTCTTTATTTTTGCTATAGGGAACATGCACTCTCCAGAGACAGAGAGAGACAGGGAGAAGGGGAAAGTGAGAAAGCACCCACTGGGGCAGATAACCACACCATGATATCTTCTCCATTCACTTTCGGAATTTTTGGGCCTGAGCACGCATGTGCCCAGTGTATTTTTCAAGCTGCCGGGTAAAAGGGGGGAAATCATTGAACTGAAAAAGACTAGGAACTTCCTTAAGAAATGTAGTCATTCATTAAGAAGTATTTTCTACTTAATGAATTTTCCTACTTATAATAAGTTCAATGGGGAAACAGAGCAATGTATGTGCTCTTGTCCCTACCCTTAAGGAATCTACTACCTGAGGTGGCTGATGCACTAATAATTTGCATAAAAGCAGAGGTGAGGCATGTCATAGAGGAGGCGAGAAGTCAGTATAAGGGGTGCATCTCAGAGGAGAAGGTTGCATTTAATCTTGACATAGGAGGTGAGAAAAGGTGGGGAGAGGCCCATGGCCATCCATATTGGAGGGGCACAGAGGAATGGATACTGGGCAAATGGGTTCATGCTACAATGGAAAGGAGCTAAATCTGGATGCATAAGTTGGAGGGCTGAAAGTCACAAAGAAGGGAAAGGTAATTATAGAAGAAAGAACAAGGAAGGGGCTGGCCTCATGACCTGGTGTGTAAGGGAGCTGATTCCACATGGCCAACAAAGCAGACTGAGTCCCAGACTTTGCAGCTTGAAAAACATGCTAGGTGGAACCAGCAGAGAGCCCAATGGTTGTCACTGGACTCCCACATGGTTGACTGTGGTTTGAGTCCCGGACCCAACAGCTGGAAACTCACACTGGGCATGTGCGCATGTGTGCATAAAATCCCAAGAGGAGAATGGAGAAGGGATTTCTGTGTGCCTGTTTCCCTAGGGAATGACTCACTTTCTGTCTCTCTGTCTCTCTCTGTGGCTCTGGCAAGCACATGGGTCCTATAGCAAAAATCTCTATTAAAAACAAGAAAAAAAAAAAACATGCCAAGACATGAGTGTGTGTTCCCAAAGTCACTAAAAGTCGGAGAAACAGAGGAGAAGGGATTGCAGCTTGACCATTCACCATAGCGGGTGCTTTCTCCCTTTCCTGTTCTGTCTCTGTCTCTCTGGTGAGTGCAAGTGCGTTCTGGGAAATAAATAAAAATGAGTAAAAAAAGGAAAAGGAAAAAAAGAGAGAGAGAAAAGAAAGAAAAAGAAAGAAAGGAAGGAAGAAGAGGGCAGAGGAAAGGTCAGTGTGTCTGTGAAATAACTCCACCTTAGCAAACCTGCTCTCCTTTGCCCTAGTCATGGGTAGGCAGTTGTGAGATATACGTGTTTACAGAAGGCGGGATTAACAGCAGTCTTTACTGTTGTGCTATTTCAGAACAACAGTTCCATAAAGTCACAGCTTCAGCATTTTCGGTTTCGTGATTTCTGAAGTCATAGTTCATTCTACTTTCCTGAACACGTGACATGAATCTGAGATTCACAGACGTTTAAAATGTGAGAGCTGGAGAAACTTTGACGTTTTTGGGATCAGTCCTACAAACCCTTATTTAATATCTAACTTTTAAACCTTCCATTTATGTCCTTTACGACTACACAATTTTTATAACTCAAAAGGGAAAAATAAGAGTTTTCTTTTTTCTTTCTTCTCTCCCTTCCCTTCTCCTGTCCTCTTATCTTCTCTCTTTTTTCGATTCTTTTTCCATTTTTCTTCTTCTACTTCTTCCCTCTTTTTCTTCTATTTCTTTTTAAATGAAAACAGACAAGCCTGTTTGTTAGATGGGATTTTTGAGATCCTTGTCAGGGGAGAACTTTGAGATGGCCTAGAACATTATCATTTTACACACGATTCTAAGCAAAGTGGACTCAAATGCCAGAATCGGCACTGACTGTAAAGAGAACAGGCTTATCAGTCACGCTGGTGAATCTAGCAGGCTGCCCCACATACTAATTACCTAACATGCAACAACAAATCAGAAGTAGGCCGAAGGTCATGGTGCATATGCTCAGAAGGAGGCTGCAGAGTGGCTGCGTGCATTCCTGACCCTCTGCATTCCTGGTTCCACAGCCCTCCAAAGTCAGTCTGCGAGGTGGTTGCCTTGGGGTCTTTTAGAATCTAAGTAGGGAGGACATCCAGGAAATGAATTCTGCTGTTGAGCTCCTGGGGTGGGCCAAGAGTCTCCCTTTTTTCGTCCTGCCTCTTGCTTGGCACTCACACAAGAATTCTGCAACATCCCTCTGCCTTTCCTGAGCGCTCATTACAGATGTGTGTCTACACACGACTATTCAGCAAGCTGTACATTGGCCTCTGCTAGTGGAAATGCCTTAGGTAAGGCAGGGCGAGGACACATTTGCACAATCCTTGTCTCTGCCAATTTTTCCACTGGGAAAAAAAAAAAAAAAGTTACCTAGCCACCAAAACAATTCAGCCCAGCTGAGACGACCTACCTCCATCCAAATGGTACACTAAAAGTTTATGACTACCAGTCTTGTCTTCCAGTTTTCGAATGTGGGATTATTAAAACATAAAAACTAGCCCCACAGTGCAGTGGTCAAGCTTTGTGCAGAAGAGGCTGAATCTCCCATCGTCAACCGCAGTTTGAATCCTGACCTAGTGGCAATATCACGTGTATACCCAGAATTCTGTCACTGTGACCAGGCCCTGTTGGGAGGTGCTTTCTCTCTCTAATTCTCTCTCATGTGTGCATAAACATTTTCTATCAAGATTAAAGGTAAAAAAAATTTTTTTTAATGACATATGAGGTCAGTCCTCTGGTATAATGTTTAAGGGAGCTGAATCCCAGATGGCCATCTGGGAATTCCTGTCCCTGCAGCTTGCAAGACCTACCAGGCACGTGTGCATGCATGCCCTAAATCTAGACAAGAGGGAGAAATGGAAGATAGGGAATTACAGCAAGACCACGCCCCACTGGCAAGTGCTTTCTCCTTCTCCCTTTCCCTCTGTCTCTTCCTGGCAAATGCAGGTGCCCTCTGGCAAGTTAAAAAAAAAAATAGTCACATGTATTTATTGATGACAATTTATACAAGAGTTGTATTACAGAATAAACAGCTCAAACCACTCCCCCGGCCCAAACTATGGGTCTACATGTATGAGAGGTCTTCCAAAAGTTTATTTCTGTGCATTTTATGAAAAAACTATGTGTGGATTTTAAAGTGTTTGTGGAAATGGAATTAATGTGTGCGTTTGTATGTATCAGTTGATCAATGAGTATATATACAAAGACAAAGTCTTGCCACATATATACTGACAAGCCTTTCCAACTGCTAGGATTATAGGCATATTCCACTGCTCTTAGGCCTGAAAAATATATTCGTTGCTAATAAGATGAGCTGCTCAGAGAAGGTGGGTGGTTGATTTGGTACTCTGCGTTATTGGGTCATCGGGAAAATCATGATGCATTTTTGCATAGAAAAATGTGACTTTCCTGACCACCTAATAGTTAGCTAGCATTACGAGCTGTCTAGCCCTACATGCTTCTAATCAAGAGGGTATTGGACTAAAATGCCTCAGAAAATACCTGTCCACTACCCAACATGGGACCTCAGAACCATGATGTGTGGCCGTGTTGCCAGATGGTGGAAGTCAACCCGAACTGCCTTGCCAAGATGTGCTTCGGTGCTTCATCAAGGCACCCCACTTTGTGGGTCACTGTTTCCTGGCTCTCTTTAAGAGTCATCAAAGAGATCCCCTCATTTGGTGGGTTTTGAACTTGTTGATTTAATTTTCTTAAAAAAAGAATAGACCAGGTAATCTCCAGGTTTAGATAGAATTGACCAATTAGGAGCCAGCAGATAGTGTAATGGCTACATCGCTATACTCCCATGTAGTCGGCCATGGTTTGAGACCCAGATCCGATGGTTTGAACTCACACCAGGTGCGTGTGCATATGTGCCCATGATCCCGAGAGG